GCTGGTGCTTACAGCCCGTGCGGGGCTGTCCAGAGCAGGCACAGGCAACTCCAGGCGGGCTGCAAGCAGCTGCAGTGCAGGGCACTGGGTGGGGGTGGGGCCACTTCCCCTGCACCCCATGCTCCTTTCCTGCCCGGGGTCCCTCCCTGCCCTTCTCCCCCTACCCTTATCTGAGGTTCTGGCGTGGGGCAGCCACATGCTCCCAGGCCAGAAGCCCCAGTTGGGGCTTCTGGCTGGGGGGGGGGGGGGCTGGGGGGGCCCTGCTGTTGAGGGAGCCTGCTGGGCTTCCCCTGGGTCCTACTGCCCTTGGTTCCTGTTGTTTTCAACAGGAACCATGGGCAGATAAATATTAATTTTCTATATTTTTTAGGGGCCCCGCGGGCCGAATCTGGCCCGCAGGCCACATTTTGCCCACCCCTGTCTTACTACATAGCATTTCCAATACTGCATCCACAAGCAGCAGACAACTATACTTTTGGGGCAGAGAGCCTGTGGTCTGGAAAAGTACAGAAGAAAATGAAAGCAGAACAACAGTCATTTTAGGAAGACTCCACCCTCTTTGGTTTGGAGGATGAAGAGGAGTTACAAATGCAGAATTATAGCTGATTACTATGAATTCTTTGACAAGAGAAATTCAGAAGTCTTAGATCATGACTATATTACATTTCTGCCACACAGTCAGGGTAAATTGTTCTTCATAAATTACATCTGCGATGTAATTTAGCACTTTCCATAGCCTGTTTAAAAGTGAATATAGTAACCCTAAAAATCAATGGAATTCAGAAAGGTAAATTAGCTTTCCAATATTCAGTATTAAACTCTAAAAGTTCCGCATTTCCTTTTTCAATTAAAGGGCACTGATAGTTGGAATTTGCCTTGTTTTTATATTTATACTTGAAGCTGTAGTCTGTAAATAATTCATCCTGTAGTATGAATATTTTAAATCATTTCCTGAAAGTGAAAGAAAAGCATAAAGACTGGGTTAAACAAGGTTTAGTTAAAGTGCCTCCGCCACCAGTCTGAAGCATGGGGATGCTGATACACAAGACGTGGAGGCTGGTTGGAGCATGCTAATTAGCATGCTCCAGTTAATTAGAGTGCTGTAATTATAGTGCGTTGCAGCGCGTCAGAGCAGTTTCCCTGCACATGTACAGACACCCTTGGATAGCAAACCAGATGGGAAGATATGAACTGCCTCCAGACCTATTCTTGCTCCCAGAATATTTAATCTACACAGGTTTGTGCAGCCATACTTCGTGCTATGCAAGTGAACAGCAAGATCCTTTGGCTTTATTTAATATTAGCCATTTTGTTGTTCTGAGCAGGTCTTCAAGTCGTCTGGTTCAAAAGATTATATACAGGTTTCCCTCGTTTTGTGTGGGCTCTGTATGTGCAAATCCGCTCTTATGCAATGACACTTTTTATACCAAAAATTCGTTATATTCAAGGTAAATTCACTCCTATGCGATCAGTGTGGTAGAAGCCCACAGTCAGCTGCTTTGTGCAGTGTACTGTGGGAGTGACGTGCACCAAAATATAGTCTCCAGTGTGGATCTGTACTTCTTGCTCATGGTCTGTGATATGTTTCTGTGGTTGCCATCCCCATTATGATAGTGCCCTGTGCTTGTGTGTACTGTCTGCTGTTGGCGATTACCAAAATTGTCTTGTAAAAGTGGTAGAAATGGGTCTGAGGGTCAGTACTATTGAGGTCCTGGCACATATTTCGATTTGTTACATTTTAAAGTGGGTTCCCTTTATGTGAATCTGAGTTAAGCGCTGTTTTCCAGGAACACACGTACACCATAAAGCAAGGGAAACCTGAATATACTTTAATATATACAGAGGATGGAACTGCAGAATTAATTTACTTATCCAAAAGTAATTACTCAAGGAAATCCATTTTTCTTCCTTCCTTAAGTACTTTGATTGTAAGCTAGGAGGATTCAAAAATCCTCAATATCACTAAGAATGTCTTTACTCAGTAATGCCAAATACCCATATAAAAACATGAGCTTTGTAGCTTTGGTTCATTTGACTTACAACTAACTTAAAATATTTGGTAAGGTTTAGGGAAATCTAGCCTAATTTGTTAATACTATTTAACAAAAATAACAAAAACTCCAAAGACTAGCATGTTTCAGGATTTTTGCTACATGATGCGTGATTCGTTGTCATTACAGCTCTCAAAATTATCAAGCACACTACATACCTATCTTCGTTTCGAAATACTACCCAAACAGCAGCTGCCGCTATGCAGAATCCAGCAAGAAAAATAAGTCGCACTTCAATACTTTTGTTGCAACATGAAATCCTAAAAAGTAAAGTGGTTAAAAGTTATGTTGTATGAAATAAACTCACATTACAAAACGAAAAAAAATCCAGTACAAATACAATATACAACTGACATCAGGTGCACAGGCTGGCAAAGTGCTTTCTCCAAAGGCTCCCCTCAGTATGAAACTCATTCAGCCCTCATTCCACCAAACCTTAGATTTAAGTAATTTTACAGGCACAATACACAATCCTCGTTCTTCATAAATGTGAATAGGTGTCCTGAACTTGATCCATCAATCAGCAGTTCTTTGGTTATTTTGTGATTTAGCTTTCTAACAGATGTAGATCAGGTGTCTTGAGTTACAGTATAGAAACTTAAGAGAAACAAAAATCTGACTGACAGAATAATGCAAATGAAGAACTGTCAAACCTTGAAGTTTACATGGAAAAATATTTTAACACATTAAAAAGAGTAAAATTATGATTAATGATCTAGTCTTCCTCAAAAGCAATTCCCTATTCATTATAATGCCAAAAGCATATCAGAAAAAAGATGAACATGTTTATAACCATATTATAAAGGGTTTGAAAAATTACATTTTGCACATTGCAATTTAACATGACCAATATCTAGAAAACACAAGCGTCTGCCTGATTCCACCTGTCTGTGTTAGTAGTCCCAATGAAATTAGAGTGAGCTACTAAGGAGAGTGAGGTTGTGCAGGATCCTGTTAAACCAAAACAAAACTTTGTTTTGACTATTTTGTTATGAATTAAGTTATTCTAAAGCTCAGAATACTTTAAAAAAAGTAATTGTTTTATATTTCACTAAGCATGTTTTTATATTGTAATTGGTACTTAAGTTTTTCATAAGATCAGTATCTATCTAGCCAGAGGATATTTTATTATTCTTAAAATGAAAGTTACTGAACTACTGCATTTAACATTTTTTTGCATTCTCAGTATTAAAGGTGCCTTAGAGGGATTTTTTAAATCTAAACTATTTACTATATTGAAGTTGATAAGACTGACAAGTTCTCAAACTAAGCACACTTTCACTTAACTCCTTATTTGCTAGAACAGGGATATGCAAAAAACAAATTAAGCTATACAATACCTGCATTGTCCAAATGATATCTTTTGGAGTAGCGCAGCCAGACAGTTGTACAGGCTCATTGCAGATGCCAAGAAGAACACAGATATTATAACATACACTAGATGAAAAATGGAAAAAATAAAAATAAGTGATAAAAAGTAGCAGAAGGATACTCTAGCAGCTGAGAATCATGGGCAAGGAAATACATGTGACAAGCTGTGAACAGGAGCATCATTGATCAAGTTGTTTTAAAGTGTTTTCTATTTAGAGCCTTGCAATAAAAACCACCAGACTTTCATCTGAAATGTCTGTAAGAGTTTAAATTTTCAAGTTTTTCATGGCAGGCTCCTCACTTTCAAAGCAAACTTATCCAAAAAGCTACTATCAACATACCCAATGTACCCAGGAACCAGGGGAGCAATCCTTTGAACTGCCAAAGCTTATATTTGTTAACCTCTGGACACCATCCCAAACACATTTCTTTATTGACATTTCAGCCCCTGTGATTATGTGGATGACTGGGCAGAGGACCTGCTGATGACTAATTGCTTCCCACAATACATTAGCTACTGTACAAAAACAGGCATAGGATCCTGCAACAGGATCTATTAGATGGGTCCTTCCACTCAGTGTTATGGAAAGAGACATCTACATGCATCTTATCATAGAACTGGGGCCACAGGTTGTAAGGAAAATACATGTTATTAAAAACACAACGATGAATATTTATAGAATCACAGAATCATAGAAAATTAGGGTTGGAAGGAACGTCAGACCGTCATCTAGTCCATAGTTTCTCAACCTTTGGTACACAAGACACAGGCAGGGGGTACACAGGTACCCCAACACTGTCTCTTGCCCTCTTTTCCTCTCTCTCTCTCTCTCACCCCTTCCTCCTCTCATAACTATGGCAAAAAAACTGGTGCAATTAAAAAAATTAAATTCCCCAATAATAATTTGTTATGTTGCACTTTGCATGGCACTGGGTTCAGCCCTCCTAGCTTTGGCCAACATCATCTCTAGCCCAGGTACATACTTGAGTTGTGTACCCTTGGTGTAAAAGGTGGCAACCCTACCTGCACCAGATCAGACATCTGTCCTATCACAGCCTTATATACACAGCCCTTCTTCCAACATATGGCACACATTAGTCTGTAAATATAAAATCCCCTGGAAAATTGAGTGTTGGGGTACTTATTCAAATTTTCAGAAGTTAGGGGGTACTTGCTACTTAAAAGGTTGAGAAACACTGATCTAGTCCAACCACCTGCTCAAAGCAGAACCATCCCCAATTATTTATCTACTACAGCAAAGCAGCACCTGAGCTCTTACAGAATTTGGTATACTTAAAGTACTCAGAAAACACAATTTACATATATTTACATAATTTCATAGAGAGCTCCAAGTATACTGTAGACACAAATCTAACTATTTTAAGAAAAAGGACAAAATATCTATGTATACCTCAAAGTATCTTTCTCTTTTTGCAGTATCAAGAAAAGGAAAGTTCAAGTGCTAAACCCTCTTCCCACTATTTAGATCTCTCTCTAATGACCTTAACATGCAAAGATTTACTCTTAACTCATCTGAGTCAAGTTGCTTAAGTGTTTGTAGATAGGCAGTAAGGTTGTCATAGAAACCAACAAAAGCAAGAAAATTTAAAGCTAAAAGTTAAATGCACCCTCTGTACATACGGCAATTAGCTCAAGGGCGTGCAGAAAATAAATGGGTAAGAGAATATCAGCTTTTTAGATTTGAATTGCCCTGCTTTTAGCCATTTATGCCATTACCTCAACTTATTTACAGAATGGACTCCAGCCACTTAAGAAGGTCAAATGGATAGTGGTGCATCGATAAAGATTTTTTTGGCTGATACGGATGGCCGATTATTAACTAGCCATACCAGCTGATACCGATCCAATAGCCAATATGCAGCCCGGCAGTGCAGAGAGCAGCGTCCGCCCGATAAGGTCTGTGGTGGGTAAGGGGCATGGAGGGGTCAAATCGAGGTCCCCATGGTGAGGGAGGGGGTGGGGCAGGGGAAGGGGCAGGTGCTGGCACTGCCCAGTCGGAGCAGGGAAGGGCACTAAACAGAGCCGCTGGCAGCTCCTGCCACTGTGTGCACCCCTGGGGGAGGCATGGAGGACATGTGCCCTCCAGATTTGTGTGCAGGGCAAGGGCAGGCTGCCCACTGCAGGTTTGGGGCCAGGGGCTGTGTCAGCCTCCTCGTGGAGGCAGGGGCTGGGCCAGGGCTGTGCTTGGGGCAGGCAGCAGTTGCACTGGGATAGGTGGCTATGGGGAAGCTACAGTGAATTTGGGGGGGGCTGTAGCCCACTCCATAGCCCATCTCCCAGCACTGCCACCACCACCCCACCCCGAGCCCAGCCGCCCCATTGGGAAGAGGCCAGTGCAGCCCCTGACACTGAGCCTACAGGGGGCAGTCCGCCCTCACCCCGCACACAAATCCAGGGGGGCACATACCCCTCATGCCTTCCCCAGGGGTGCGCACAGCAGTGGGAGCTGCCTCCCCTCCCACCGCCCATGGCTCCGTCCCACACCCCGCCCCACCTGGGTAGCACCTGTCCCTGCCTCAGCGCCAATCCCTCCCTCAACATGGGGGCCTCGATCTGTCGTCCCCCCCCCGTGCCCCTTCCCTCCCACAGGCTTACCGAGTGGACACTGCTCTTCAAGCTGCCATGCTGCATTCCTGGCTTAATGCATGCTGCGACTGTGCACATGCACACGGCATTTATTGGTGACCTTATCAGCTACACCAGCCAAAAAAAGCTGATTGCCAATAATGTCAATTTTCTTTTTATCAGTGCTGATTCAGTATGGACTGATATATTGGTGTACCTCTACAAATAGATAGTAATCTTGAAAGCTTTAAATACAGATACCTGGAAGGAATTTACAAAACAATACAGAGGTCAAAAGAGAAAGGGATTATCTACACAGGAAAGTTAGTGGGGTGTGGGAGGGATGATTTTCCAGTATCAAGTCTCCAAATTTCCAAGCCCCATGGACCAGATGTTATGGGCCCATATGCATTGGATCTGGCCACTGTGTCCGGGGCCTGATCACTGCACAACATGGCACCTGGGACTGGGGCCCAATGTGGTGTGTACCAGATTGGGCTCACAGACCAACCCAGCACCACTCATCCAGTCTACAGGGCCAAAAGGTTGAGAACCACTGTTTCACATGGATGGCAAAAAGTTCATACAGAATGACTATGGCCTGGTCAAGTTTCAGCGTTATGTGCTTTGGAACAGAAAATTAGAGCTCCTTTACCAAATAGCTAAACAGCCAACAAGTGGCCTGAAGAAGGGACTGCATCTAACAGCCTGTTTGAATTTATTTCAATTATGCAGCTAGTCCAATAAAGATACCACTCTCCTCCCCTCCCCACCCCCCCAAAAAAAAAGAAAAAAGCCTTGCCTCTCGCATAAACAAAATAAAAGATTGTTTATGGGCAATATTTTTTTTTTACTCCACGTTTTCAAAGTCTAGTTTTCCACAAAAATTCAGCTAGAGGTAGACACCCTACATAGAAACTTCAACCAAATAGTTAAGTGTGGCAAAGAAATAAAGCAACAAAAAAGTGTTTTTGATGGGACATTTTTGGTAACCTTTGATATAAGCATTGCTACCTATAAGCAGAAGAAGCTGCCAAAAGCTTTTTATGCTATGCAGAAGAGGTGAGAGAAGGGGAAAACAAGCTACAAAAGAGAATTACTCGCTTAACCAACAATTTCTGGAATAAAAATAAGACAATCAACATCAAACCTTTTTAACATCATGGCATTTTATAGAAGTGTTTGCTGGTTGTAGGTTTCTTGTTTTTCTTATATCTTTCACTGACCTTATATTATCATGAAGATAATTATGTCATTAGTGTTTACTCTGTCCATTATGTCTACTTGTGGTAAGACAAAATAACTTAAGTAGCCCAAAGGCAATTTAGAAACTAATGCTTAGAGCATGGTTGGAGTGTCATAGCCATGATGGTCCAGAAAAATATACAAGGCAAGAAGATTTTTTGGTGATATCTTTTTATTGGACAAACTGTACAGCTGCTTAGAGCAGGTGTTTTGTGGCATGAAGCCCAGGACATGGGGAACTGTTGGGATGTAACCTGGCCTTCTCTGCCCTGCACCATACCACGTATCATCCCTGTAGCAGCCCCCCATTGCTCTCTCTTGCCCCCTTACAGCAGGTGCTTCTTATCTTCACTTATGAATTTGCCCCTCTATGCTGGTGGGGACGTGGGAGGAGAATACCAGTGGCACAAGCAGCAAGTCACAAGCAGCATCCCACTGCTCCCAAAAGGTTGCCAACCCCTGACTTGGAGTTTGAGCTAAGATTCAACCACAGAATGAAGAGGGGCATCATATGCTTGACTGCTCATTTTTACTATGAAGTCATATACCTTATTTAACTAACCACTGCCTTGGCAACCTTAGAGAGAAAAAAAATGTGAAGGAGGTTTCCAAAAGAGGCCTCATTTCCCCCACTTTAAAGTAAATCCCCTACACATTTTTATTCCCCCCAATAAATGAGGGAGGGTGACTTAAATAAGAAAATGAGTTCAACTTTGGGTGAAAAACTAAAATTAAACTATCTTCCTGTTTAAAAAACAAACAAAGCTGTCAACAGCATGAAAGAGGAAAATAAATCAATTGCAACAGTTCCTTATCACTTCTTACCTAGCCATTTGTAGAAGAAATAAAGTAAGACTAGCATGACACAACAGATGACCACAAACAGGATAACTGTAAGTGGGGTAAAAGTGACATTTTCTTCCTTCTTTCTTCTTGTTTCTCTGTCCTCAGGGCTTGCCACAGCTTTCAAATCCTCACTGTCAAAACAGACATTTATTTCAGTTATAGATTGTAACTGCAGACTTTTACAAAATGAGATTTTACCACTACCTCCATTTTTACACTGTATTAAGGTGCATGAGACACAAAGGGTACCTGTACACATGTAGGGAGGCTGTTCCAATGCACTATTAAATCGAGTCTGCTGGAGCATGCTAGTTAGTGCGTGCCAGCCAGCCACCGCATCTCGTGCATCACCATCCCTGAGCCTCAAAATGGTGGTAGGGGCACTTTAACTAAAGCTCATTCAATGAGCTTTAATTAAAGCATCCCCACTGCTGTTTTGAAGTGCAGAGATGCTGATACATGAGATGCTGCAGGTGCTTTAAATCCAACTACTCTTGGAGCCACTCTAATTAAATCACCCCCCTCAGTCCCAGAGCATGTGTAAAAATGCCCTAGAATTCCAATTCATCAAGGTAATTAAGCACGTGACAAACTTTAAGCACTGAGTGGTCACTCTGACTTAAAAGCTAGACATTGTCTTAACTACTTTGCTGAAATGCTAGTATTAGTCTGAAAAATAATCAAGACATCTGCAAATGCAGGTCAAGCAGGACCGTGGAATTTGCTAGCTATTCTTCTGCTATACTTCCTAAAATTCTCTCAGAGGACTATTGTCCTATGGGAAGAGGCTGCTGCTTTACCTTGGATCATAAGGAAATACTTTTTGTGTATTAGAGGAAAAGGAAGAGTCAAAGGGTTAAAATGAGGTTCCAATTAATAAAAGTAAAAAATCATCTCTAAGAGAAGTCTTCAAACAGAAATACTCATTATTTCCCTTTTAGAAACCTGCTTATGCCAGCAGGAAAACAATTATTATTGACAGACATTTATATTATACCCCAAGAATGGTAAATGATTTAGAACTTCAGCTAGACATGTGTCATTTCATTAAATGTCTGCAAAAACACTAATGTCAGCCAAATCCTGTCAGTTAATTGTGAATTCTTCTGCATCTATGGTCCATAATTAAAGGGGAAGGGAAACAGAGAAATAAAGTAGATTCTCATTAAAGGTAACATGTCTTCAAGGTTATAATACATACATGCTCTGTATTTATGCCTTATCATAAGAAATAAATGCACTGAAAATGTTAAACCTGTTTTATAAAAAACCGAAAGGTCTTTAAACATTCAGGCCAACTGTGCTTCTTACCACTCTGAATATTTGTAAAGCTTGCTTGCCAACTATTCTACCTCCCATGATATCCCGAGGTCCGCACAGCTACAATGCTGACATTTTGAAAAGGCAACAGCTTTCTTAAATCAATGCAAGCAAGAAAGTTTGCAAATCCTAGCTACTATGAATATCTGATTTAGATTAGTGGTTTACAAACCTAAGGAAATGTACAACATTTTCAAGATGTGCAAAAATTAATACATTTCTCAAAGATACTGAGTTTCCAAACAAGTTGCCATCACATCCTGTGATATTTTTGACACCTGGCCCTGGCATGTTCCCAAAAATGGCAACTCCTCCCATGAAACAGGTGCATAGCAGGAGGCATAATTTTGGGATCAGGGATCACAATTTATCTCTTGCTACTTGCCAGTGCAAGGGGAGCCCAGGATCACAGTCACAATCTTGGGCAGCCAACCATCAGCTCTGACCAGGGACTGCGCTACAGGTTTGAACCAGCCACAGTCCAAAGGCAGCGCCAACAATCAGTTGACCTGCAACCTCCAGCTCCAACCTTTTACAGGTACAATTTAAGGTGCCATATACAGAACATTTTTATGGCTGGTTTGCCATTTTATTAGGGGTGCAGTGATAAAGATTTTTTGGGCTGATACCAATGACTGATTATTAACAAGCTAGAGCCATATCAGCCAATACTGATCCAACTCTTGATATGCAGCCTAGCAGGATGGAGAGCAGGATCTGAACGGTAAGTCTGTTGCAGGGGGGAAGGGAAGAGGCGGGGGGACAGAAGGGACTGAGGGGGGTGCAGATCAAGGCCCCCGTGGAGTGGGGCTGGGGCAGGTGCTGCCCAGCTAGGGCAACAGGGGATGCAGGACAGAGCCATGTGGCTTGACCAGGGGGCATGGGGAGCGGGGGCAGATCACACTTCTATGTGCACCCCTGGAGGAGCCATGGGGCAGGCAGTGGCAGCACTGGGCTGGCAGGGCTATGGGGTGGGCTACAGCCACCCCAAAATTCACCATAGCCCCCCATAGCATCCCCTCCCAGCGCTGCTGCCGCCCACCCCAAGTGCAGCCCCAGCCCAGCCTGCCTGCCAAGAAGAGCACAGCGCCACCCCTGGCCCCACTGGCAGCTCACCCATGTCGTGTGCACAGATCCAGGGTCACAAGCCCCCAATGGCTCTCCTGAGGTGCGTGTAGTGGCTGGATTCGCCCTCCCCTCCCCACACCCCGTGGATGAGCCTCTCATGGCTCCCTCCTACACCCCCCTGCCCAGCCCCAGCCCCACTCCCTCCCCCACCACAGGAGCCTCAATCTGCCCCTGCCAAGCCCCTTCCCTCCCAATAGACTTACCAGCTGGATGCTACTCTGCAAGCTGTTGGGCTGGCCGCATGCATACTGCAGCTGCGCGCATGCATGCTGCATTTATTGGTGACAGTACTGGCTGCACCAGCCAAAAACGCCAATTGCCAATAACATCAATTTTCCTTTTATCAGTGCCAATATGATATGGACCGATGTATCGGTGCACCTCTACATTTTATGGCGTCTTAAATTGAGTGCTCTAGGTATCCTTGACCAATACTAAAAATTAAAAAGGGACCAGATAGAGGGAAACCCCTGGTACTATTGATCTAGGTAAGTATGGCACAAAGGAAGACAAGCCATATGATAAGGTGTACACCATAAACCTCTACTCTAAGATTTTGGGAGTGAAAATAAATAAATAAACAAACAATAAAAGGCTGGCACTGGCCGTCTCTCTTTCTCCAGAAGTCAATAGGAACTCAAGGCTTAGTCTGTCATTTCCACATAGGCACCACTTCCTACAGATTCCTTGTCCACAGTGTGTTACACTTCTTCACTAGCTAGGCAATTATTTATTTATTTATTTATGTATGTATTTATTTAATTATGAAAAGGAAGTCACAGGCACCAACATCTGCTACATGCACATAGCCTTCTGCAAAATAAACTCTCTCAGTTTCCATCATTGCCCCAAAACATTAAGGAAAAGTAGAAGGGCATGGCTTTCAGGTTGATCCAAGCAAAGGGAAAGTCAGAGGACAATTTTTCATGGTAATTTCCCCCCCTGCTCCTACCAATCCTTGTGTTTCAGCAAATCTACAGCATAGTGAATTGGTTCTCAACTTTTTTAGACACAAAGCACGCCTCCATAACTTCTGTGAATTGAACTACATCCCATTTGGAAAGCTAATTTATTAAAGCACTTACTTGCCTGAAGAGCGGCCAAGAAGGAGAAGCAGCAGTTAAAAGGAAAGAGCATGCTCATCTCCTCAACCTTATCTCCTTCCTCTCTCCCAGGGGCACCCTTCAAAGGCTGTCGAAGCACACTGGTTGAACTGGCACAGTGTAAAGGAACTCAAGCTATATTTAAACAAGCTAGTGCAAGCACTGGGGGCAGTCTAGCCACTGTGCCACAGAATTCATTACAAAACAACTGAGCTTCCTTCCAGAAGTCCTGGATTACCTTATCAAGGGACTTTTTACATGGTATCTTTTTATTGGGTTTCACTTTTGATGTGTAAGTTTAGAATTTTTTTTTTTTGATTTGGGATATCTGTCCCTTCCAGTTTCTAACCAGATTTTTTATTACTGGATTCATCAGCTTTTTTTTTAAGCTAGAAATGCTTTTAGCAGCTTGTTGGAGACACTAGCATGATGTGTTACATGAATTAGAGTCTTAAAAGGTAGATGGGAGATGAAAAGCTATGACTGATATCTGAAAGTAGATATTTATATGTCCTGAAGTGATTTTATCTTCAGAGAGTTTTTATGGTATCCACTGCCATGCATAAGAGCACCAGCATAATATTCAGTATTTACCTACTTAATGCCACTGTGTGGTAAATAATGTCACAATCCACATTTTACAGAGTGGGAATTAAGGCAGAGACTAAGAATGAAATCCAAAGGTACTTGTGCCTAACTCTTAATTTATTTAATTGGGAATCAGGTACCCAAATACCTTAGCGACTTACTCAAGCCAATTAAACTTAGAGCCAAAGTCACACAGGAAGCATGTGGTAGAGTGTACAATTGAATCTAGGTCTCTGAAGTTCTACAGGGGTGCCCTAATCAGTAGGTCATCCTTCCTCTCATAGATATAACCACAAACATGTTAGATCCATAATTTACACTGCTTAATAAATCATAAGGTTTAATTAAACTTACTGTTCTGATACTCCACTCCAATAGCCTCCAAGCGCCACAGTGAGAACAGCAATTAGAAATATGACAAACATACTGTAATCAAATTCTGGCAAAGGTGGTGAATAGAGCGTCACATTAATCCTATTTCCAAGAGTCTGAAATATAACAACCAGTTACACATAAGAACAGCATTGACAAAGAGGTAGGGATTCATACCGCTTATCCAATTTTTACCATATATGTTACACCATTGATCTATAAATTAGTTCAGAGTGTACTGAACATGTATGTTGCCTGCCTACTACCTAAGATTACTATATACTTATTAGGAGTTGACACAGTGGAACCCTAGCCTGTCCACAGAAGTATGGTACATTTTTCTATGACACCAACACCTTGAGTGGTGCACTCAGTCCACATGCCTGTTAGCCCTCAAATGACTGAACTATACAAAGACACATTTTGGGAAAGATCTTCAGCTGGTGAAAACTGTCTTAATTCCAATGATTTCAATGGAAATACAACAATTTACATCAGCTAAAGATCTGCTGCCTTAGTTCCCTGATCCAAGGTATTCCTGGAACAAACAGGGAAGCTATTTCAGACAAGGTGTGCAAGTTTGGAGTCCAACAGTAGTTTAGCAGTGGTTATTCACATCAGCAAGTTGCATGATTTGAGGGGGGGATTTTAAAAAAAGAGAGAGACATTTAAGTGTAAAAACAGCATAGAAGATCATTCAAAGACAAAAGTGAGAAATGGGGTAGGAAGAAAACACAAGAGGAACACAGATGTCAGCAGAGAGAGTTGTTTTCATATTCAAGGTCACAGTACAAGAAGCTTGACCTTGATGTAGAAGGAAAGGGAAAGCCCATTTAGGAATCTAAAGAGGAAAGGATAGTAGTTGGAAAGCAACTGGAAATTAAATGAACACACAAAAGAGCACCAACAGTCAGATAAACTATAACCTAGGGCACAGAAAAGGAGTTCTGCAGGGGGGATAGAAAGACATATCAGAGATGATACAGAGGAAAAACTAACCGATTTTTTAACAGCCTACACGTGGGAGAAGAACATGACAAGTACGTTTGGCTGTAAGAAGACATTCTTTCAGCATATCTAGCAAAGAGAGAATTTAGTGGTGAAAGTAATACACCAACAATATACCTATTATTTTTTATTCAAGAAATCACATTGATTTCAGCAAAGCACAACATGACTAGCAATGCAAAGTTTCATAAGTAACATTTAATGCAGTTAAAACAAAGCCACACATGAGTTCTGTTAAGTTACTGAGATATGAACAACAGTTTGTTATCAAATACATAAAACAAATTTAGTTATTAGAACTACCTTCTAAATTCCATTGTTTTGTCTTTATACAGAATCTTGTGCCAGATGAGAGTTACCGGATACTATTTAAAGTGTCAATTGTTGAATTTGAACAGTCTAGGGTGTTTTTTCACTTGTCTGTTTTATCTGACAGATCATAGTAGGTAATAGGAAAGCAAGTACTATCTGCTAAGTACTATAAGCACTATCCTTGATAACCTCAAAATCCATCATTTTCTTGCATGCTTCTTGCATAATTATGATCATGATAAGGTCCACCAGGAGACTATTACCTGGTGGTAATAGAGCACATAGAAAACACCTGACATTCACCAGAGTAAAGTATCCACAAATGGCATCATTACATATCTAACTAGCATGGCAAAAGACAACAGGAGTAAGTCTTTTAATGGATCAGTAAAGAAGGAATGGCACTGACAGTCTGGAAGATGTCTTCCTCACTCCTAACCGGAACCAAATTGCCTCCACTGTGCAACTAGAGTGAATACTGAGCTACTACTGGGAAAGTTTTTCTAAGATTTTCCCAGAAATGGTAGTGTATCTGGGTAGAAACTAACTGCCACTGGTTACTCCTTCATGTTCAGTATTTTCCAACAGAAGATGGCTAACATATGGCAGAAAGTTATATTGAACTATACCATGACCAAGAGAGGATCCTTCCCTCTCAATAAGCTATAGTTAATATCATTCCTGATTTGTGCTTACAAGCTTCTGACGCAGGTTACTCTACAGAAAATCATGCCTATAAGCAGAGCAGACCAAGTGTTGACAAGACAGGGATCAGATGGAATAGGAGCACTTGTAACTAAGTTATTGTTTTTGCCACTTACTGAAAGCATAGGAGAAATCAGGTACAACCCCTTACACCCACTACATATGCAACCACCACATAGCCCCTCATGCTTTTGTCAAGTAACCCAGCATGCTGCACAAAACGTTATCTTGATAGATTGTTATGGTCACAGAAGCAATGCTTCACAAGCAACTGCAGGCAATAGGATGGGAATCTAAAAGAATACATTGCCCCCAGAACCTGACTGATATTTTGTATTTTAAAGATTTTTCTCCCATCTTTTTTTTACTACTTACATATTGACTAAAGAGTCCCTCATGGACTAACCTGAAAGAGGTTGTAGAAGACTCCTGTTTCACACCTCAAGTCCCCACTTCACTTTTGAGGAATTCAAGATATTGTCTAACCATTACTATCTGAACACTGGAGCCAGTAACTATAATCATGCATGTCTAACTGGACAGTCAGTGCCTGGGAAGTATATAAATAAATAAACAAAGGGTTACAGTAGCCTAATAAGTTATTTACCTGCATATCCATTATGTCAATATATCTGACAAGAGCAACTGGAATGGTAACATCTTTGAAGTCTGTCTTGTTACCTGAAAGAGGAGACTAAAAGAGAAAGCAAGTATAAGAGAAATTCATAGCATATCTGCATAATACTACTCTTTATGTAGACTATTCTTTGAATGCCAGGATGTATATTCATAAACAAAAATCAAAAGATACTATAACCATCTCACAGTTTGAGGAAAACTAAACTAGACCGGGGGGGGCTCAACAGATCCAACCCAGAGACTGCTCCCCTGCTACCAAATTTCCGAACCCAAAGGGAGCCCCTATTCCAGTGTGCAGGAGGCAGCACTAGGGCCCAATCCCAGCAAGTGGGGAAAGGAGGGGGTGGTGTCAGGCTCCAGGGCTTGATCCTGCTGCACAGGGCTCCATCCAGACTGTGGACTGGCTCCAAACCACTCAACTGGCCCACAGGGTCAAAAGGTTGACCACTACTAGACAAGACAATCAGAAGCTGACACTATCAGAATATCTCCAAATCTATAGTTGTCTTGCATTTATGATGTTATAAATAAGCAATCAATAGGACATGGTTCCAAATAACCACCCTTTATAATTTCAAGTTAAAGTTATTTTCATCAGTGATGATCTACCATATTTACTCAATTAGAAGACAAGGTTCCCCCCTTTTAACATAGGGGAAAAAGAACCTCACCTTACAGCTGAGCATGAGGTAGTGGAAGGGGGATGGGAGGGTGGGCAGCTGCTGCAGCACTGGCTCCAACTGAGGGTTGGGGCTGGAGCCAAGCCACAGCTACCGCTTGCCCCACCAGCTGTGGGGTCAGGCAGGAACAGCAGTGCCAGCTCTGTACCACTGCTCCAGGCCCTGGCAATCCTCTGTACCCTGGGCTGCAGCAATACTCTGTGCCCTGAGCTGCTAGCACAGAGCAAAGATAAGGGGGAAGAGGGAAGGGGAGGTGGGGCAAGGGAGAAGGGACTTGAAGCTGCATGTGGCAGAAGTGGCATGGAGAGGGGAACAAGGGAAGGGAGGAATTGGGGCAGCAGGCTGCCTCACTGCTGCCCCTACCACCTGAGCCCCACAGCCTGCCCCTATTACGGTCTTCCCACACCTACCTTAACACATGCCCCCCCTACTGCCTTCCACACTGTCTGTTCCCCAACTGCCTGCCCCACTACTACCCCATCATCACCTCTCCCCGCACCTGCAGTAGTAGGAGAGGAGATTAATTTAAGATGATTCTCCAATAATTAGATCCCATACATGGAAAATTATAATACATGTATAAACTTTCCATGTACTGGCATCCCGCATCTTATGTGGGGGTTATGTTCTAAAGGCAGCGTGTAAAGGCGAAAATCGCATCTAGTGAAATCGCATATTACTGTGCCAGCGGTGACTGCCTTGACCTCCAAAACCTCCTGCTGCCGCCGCGAAGCCACACTTAGAACTGTGCGGCCGGCAGCAGCGGCGCAGTGCAGGGTGGTGGTGAGGATGGCTGCATGCCACCCGGCCACCACCATGCCTGGTGGCCGGCCACACAGCTCCAGGCACGGCTCCATGGCGGTGGCGGGAGGTCTTGGAGGCAGAGGCAGTCACCACTGGCAGTGTGGTGGTGGCCGGGCCTCCAGGTAAGCGGCAGCGCCGTGTGCAGACTCAAGCCCCACCCCTCCTCCCCACCCGCATATAATTGAATTCGTGCAAGTTAAATGCGCGTAAGATGCAGGATGCCTGTATAGAATATAATTACTGGGGGGTCATCTTACATTCAAGGTCATCTTGTATTTGATTAAATATAGTATTACAACTATACTTTGCATTACTTCTGCAGTTTTCTAACTACAAGCATTTTATATATGATATACCGTCAAGACACTAAGAACAAAAATAATGGGGTTTATCCATGTGGCGTAAGAATAAGACATCATTTGAAGAACTGCCATCTTATTTATGTCTGCTTTCTTCCTTCTGTTTTTCCTATATTGGTCTATTTTTTTAGACTTTATGCAACATATTCATACTTAATAAATGTATTAAAATCAATCAAGATTATAAAACTAAACCAAAATAAACAAAAACAAGCTTTTTCATATAGAAGTATGTCAAAATACAATGCAAATATGATGGTCACTTTAACACCAAGCACCCCACATAATTGTGGAACTTACTAGAGCAGTTTTACTTGCGATCAGCAGTGTTTTAGCACCAAGTTTTTGAGCAATTCTTGCTTTCTCCAAATATGTGCAGTTTCCCCTCATTACTACAACTGCTTTGTCTTTTATGAAGCCAGAAGGAACATCAGAATAACTGCAGAGCACAGTTGAAGTCAAGTTCTCCAAGCTATTGGAAGTCTACAAAAAATAAGTATGCAAGCAGTAATTACAATCAAAACATGAATTTGCAATTGTTCTTCTCTTTTATTTATCACATTTTACTAAAACAAAACCATGTATTTACACAGCATAAACAGACCTAATACAGTGCAAGACAGATCACAGAAAAGTACAACTGGAAGGGACCTCACAAGGTCATCTAGTCCAGCCCTCTGCTCAAGGCAGGATCATCCCTGACTAAACCATCCCAGCCAAGTATCTGTCCAACCTGCTCTTGAAAATTTCCAAGAATGGAAATTCTACAATTTCTCAGGTAGCCGGTTCTAATGTTTGACCACCCTCATAGTCAGAAAGTTCCTCCTGATCACCAACCTAAATTTTCTCTGTTGCAGCTGGAGGCCATTGCTCCTAGTCCTGTCCCTTGTGGCCATGGAGAAAAACCCATCTCCATTTTCTCTGTAACTGTCCTTCAGGTATCTGAACACTGTTATCAAATTCCCCCCTCAGTCTTCTCTTCTCCAGACTCGATAACCTTAGTTTTTTCAGCCTTTCCTCAAGTCCTGCTTCCCAGGCCCTTACTCATTTTTGTCGCTTGGTACCACACTTTTTCTAACCTGTCCACATCCTTTTTGAAGTGTGGGGCCCCAAACTGAGCACAGTATTCCAGGTGAGGTCTCATCAAGTGCTGAATACAGAAAAAAAACCCCTACTCCCCTTGATTTGTAAGTGACACTCCTGTTAACACAACCCAGCATGCTGTTCATTAAACTATCTTAAAATGGACCAGTGAATTAGTAGATGGGGAAGAGCAAATTATCTCAAGGCCATATGCACGTGGCTTCTTTGTGATACCACAAGATTCTAAAAGACTATTTTAAAAAACAGAAAATAGACACTGTCAGTATATTTGAGATTTGTGAACCAACCCCAACCTTTTTACAACATCTCTCAAGACCAGACACTACCCTAAACCAGTCATCAGAAAAAAGCTGGTAGGGGAGTGGCTATCTATTGCCTTTGAGAACACCTCTGTAATATAACTAAGTTTCCCCAGACAAAACAGAACGACTCGGCTACACATCCAGACTCTGGTTGGGCTGCCACACTTGTGCCAAAACAGTATGCCTGCTTTATAACAAAGTTATATTTGTTTGAATAAAAATATTCCACACATTTATTTTTAGTTCAAAACATTTAGTAAGTCCCATTGAACAACATTTTGTTTTCTTTGGCTGCTCAAGTTTCCCTGCAGCCAACATAGTCACAGGCCACAGCAAATCCTCTGACAGAAACATTGCTGTTACACTTCGATTTTGCACTGAGCCCATCTTGTTTATGAATGAAGGAAAAAACCTGTATCCAAATGTACAGAAATGCTAATAATATCCAGGGTAGCTAAAAGGAAAGGAAAAAGTCCTCTAGAATATACATAGAGGGTTTTCTCACTTTTGCTGTTTGATATCCATTTAAACTACAGGTCATGTTCATTTCTGTTTCTTGTTCATGTAAATTTCTGTTTTATAAACACTAACCTAAAACTAAAATATTTCAAAGTTTTGAAATGTAAAGGTGTTTAAACCTAAGCATGAAAAATGGGTACCCTTCTCTTTATTTTCCTTGGATTTCCCGACTGCTATTTCAACTAGACTTTGACAGTTCTCTTTAAAAGCCATATTCATTTAGGTACAGTTGTTTGAATAGTATAACAGGGGTATCACTTGTGGAATTATTGAGGTTGGGCTTTTTCTTAAAGTACTTATTAATGCATTCACTAAATTAAGGTTATTAGGATTATTAGACTAACCACCTTTTCATTGTTATTCTGACAAAATAATTAAAAGGTATTATTTAAAACTGATTTTGTGCAGCACTGGTTTGACACAATACTGTGAGATCAGTTCTACTAAGTCCAAAACTGTTCTCAGTTTCACAAGTCTTAAGACAGTACAGTCATTTAACTACTTACTACATTATCGAGGCTATTTGCAAGAGATGTCCAAACAGGATTGTAAAGTATGCAGTAGTCCTTTTTTACTGGAGGTATTCCATTTCCAGAAGCATGCAGGATACCCTCCTGTGCACTTGCCTACAACATGAACAGAATTTCATTAGACTGCATTGGACTATCAGTGGCTTAAAAATCTAATTCTGGTACCCAAAATAAGAGGGGAAGCAGGTATCCATGAAGAGCAATGCTAGGACTAGACAACTCCAAGCAAGTGCTCTCCCATTTGACACTTGGCACCTACACCTTTGTATGGACTTTAGATCAGAAAAAGGCAATTAAAACAGTCCCTGGAATACTCAATGTTGCTAGCTTTTTGTTAGAAGGTCTACTAAAAGCCATAGGTTCCACCTTACAAAAATTCTCTCACATGCATAGACCTCACTGACTTGCGAGCAAAGGCTGTATGATTTAACCCCTCCAGGATTTTTCTCGGAGTTATAACAATACTACAAATTCAGTCTAAAAATGTATTTGGCTGGTTATTTGGGGGTTTAATGGTAAGGCAGGAAAAGAAGAGAGTTAATACATGTAATCTTATTTAAAATAAGTTCATTGCAAATTGCACAACTACTTGGCTGCATTTTATTTTGATCATAGTAGCTATATTTTACTGAATTGTATGGTCTGTAATTTGGACTATACCCTTTCTATGCATGTGCGCGCGCACACACACACACACACACACATATATATATATATATATATACATACACATTAAGACTTAAATCCAGTGAGGAAGTTCACATCTGAACATTAATTTCTGATAACACTGAAAATTATGAAATTAGGTCACTGACAATTCATTTTTCACATGTAGATATCAAAGCCAGCCCCTAACTCAGAGGGAGTAAGAACTGTCTTTGCCTGCACAGATCTATAAGATTACTCTTTTATTTAAATAGAAATATATTTATTCTTTTATGTACAAATGTGGAAAATAAATGTATAAATGTTAAATATATATTAATATATATTTAAAAATAGTTAACACCACCTTAGAAACAGGCATTTATTAACTACTATGGTCTTAAAAAGGCTATCCAAGGGAGTAAATAAATCTTTCATAAGATTATTGGATGGGCATATACATCTAAGCATAGAACAGTGAAAAGGCATTTATTATTGTATATATTTAGTTTGGATTTGTATACTACCTCATAAAAAGAAGGTTCACGGTGGCTTACAATAACACCCACAAGGTATGAAACAAAAACAAACCCCCTAAACAACACCTGAAAACTTAAAAACTATAAGCACATATATGGTTACAACCTTTGGCTGTTCAAAATTAGGCTTTACTTTCCATTACCACCAGTTTGATCTGAAGTTTAACTACGAAATAAATGCAAATACAAAAGGTAGCAATATACCTGCTTATCCATGTTTCAGATAAAGACCCATGAGAAAGGTACACTTACAAAAGCAAAAGGACTGAGCTTTTTCCAGCATTTTAACTATACTACCCTTCACTTGACTGAAGCAAATTAAAGGCAAATAACGTATGATTCATGATGAGCAGAGAAAGACTGATCTTTCTACTGAAGCCAAACATAAAAACTGATGACAAATGAAAGTTGTCATTTGGATATACTTTAGAGAACGAGAGTTAGCTGTCTTAGTCTGAAGTCAGGGAGAAGGCAGAGCAGCATGGGACCTTAATGAAAAAATTGTCCCAAAAGGCATACATTTTTCTTGGAGACAGGCTATACCAGATTCTATGAGCAGGATGGATAAAAATCAACAATTTAAAATAAAAAAATAAAAAAATGGATTTTTAAACATTTAAATTGGATTTTTTTAATTTAAGATTTATTAAGATACTTAAAAAAAAATAAACCTACATAAAGATAGTTTTAATTTAAGATATGTTAGAGCTCAAAAATATCATCATGGAATAGGGATTGTAACTTCTAATTACATACTATTTGAAACAATATATTATAAATAGATCACAAGAAGCCATGGACTATAGTAGGGGCCCAATTTTATGGGGTTCCCAGAGGCTCCTCTATAGACTAGTAAAGATTAAAGAAAACCACCCTGCCCAATGGGACTCAGTGCTCAGTCTAGAAGATCCCATTAAGCATCCTTAGTTTCAGTTCTCAAACTGTGGATCTGTGTCACCAGAGATAACACACTTGTTAACACCAGCATACAGAGATGAGAGATAAGAGACCCGATTACCTATCCATCAGCCCTATCGTGTCTCTGCAAGTTCGTGTACACAGTCAAACCCTTACCCATGGGTGACTAGTGAGGAGGGGCGGGTGTCATGCAGGGGCTGATCGCTGTGGCTGCTTCCTCCCACTCCCCGGCTGGTGTTTGCAGGAGGGGCACCGGTGCTCCCACCTGCCCCCCTGCCCATTACCTAAGCGGCAAGTGTGGCCAGTCAGGGGGTACACTGGCACACTCAGGGGGTGCACGTGCACCCCCTACACGTTGCCCCTATGCATTGCCACTGCTCTTACCACTCTCTAAAGGAAATTAAATGAAAAGAGGATTGTTGGGGGTGGAGTAGATCTGGGCAAGGAAGGGGAGTCTGGAGATAAGTGCAAGGAGACAGGAGCAGTAGAAAAAAAAAAAAAAAAGAAATATTTTGAGCAGATTATTTCAGAAATCTTGAGGGATAGGTTTCTGAGATCTAGTGAGGGAGCGATATGATAGAAGGGAAAATCTATCATGGCAGCAGCCTTGCCAGGCCATAAGAGACCCTACCCTGTCTGGGAATATTTTAATGAAGGTTATATCAAACAACAAGAATTCACTTTTTTTAGAAAGCAATGATTAAATAAAGGCTTCCTGACCAGTGATTCAAATCAATTTGATTTAAATCAAATCCACCCTGTCTATGAGACACCCATGTAGTGCAGGGGGACCCAGCTGTTAATGAAGCTACCTGGTCTATAAACTGGAAAAGTACAAGCAGGGATGCTGTTCTGAAAGACACAGTTTTATTTTGCATAAATCAGTCCTTTTCCTAAGCCAACGCTCACTTGATTCTTGAACACCCCCATGTTAGTTGGTAAAACAGTGAATTAGACAACAAGAAAAAACAAACCAAGAAATACGCAACAAAAAAATCAGCAGGGTAAGCGTAATGCAGGCCTACATGCAGAAGTCTCAAAAGAAAGGGAAGTGGAACATGTTACATAAAGAATTTGGATGATTCAGAACATGTTTGTACGTATTGCTTCCATCTTTTGAATCCTTTCATTTCTTTGTGCATCTTGCCCCATTAAATCCAAGATTTCACATGCTTTCCTACAAGCCCTTTTGCACCACTGGTCCCACCGCCGCTCGCTTCTTTCTAGTCCCTCTGTGCTTCCAAAACATGCGTCTTTACTGCTATTTTTCCCTCTACTACACTGGACATTTTCAACCAAGCTGTCTTCGTTTCCCACTTTCTCTCCACTAGGGGTGAAACTATATAATTGCTCCTGGTTAGCCTGGTTTCAAGGCAGGCTTGTTCCAGAAAGTGTGTCCACACATTATGCTAATCACTCAGAAACAGCTGCCCTGCCTTAAAATTCACACCCCGCTCTCACTGCGCATGAACTTTCACAAGCAGACTAGCCTTCAGCAACCTCTCTCACTTCCTCCAACGCTTGTGCTACCAGGGAGCTCCGAGAAAGAGCGAGCACAAGCGGGCTGGGCCCTCAGCCCGACCACTGCCAGGCGGGCAAAGCTTCTCTAACGGTCATCTATGTGCGAGCAGGGAAACCGTCCCAAAGAGAAAGGGGTTAGGAGAGAGGTGCCGGGGCCAGGGCTCTGCCTTTTGCAGAGGGGGACCGGGGGGAGCCCAGCCCGGAGGGGCCTTTGTGGGGATCCCCGCTGAGGGGGCCTGGCGAGCACCTGGGCCCTCCCCGCCCTCCTGCCTCCAGCCCGG